CCCTCAAACGGTTTTGCCAGCTTGTGATTGAGGTTTTAATTTCCTGTGTATCACTTTGAACCTGTTTCATACATTCCGTTTCTTTCCTAAATTGCTTATTCAGGGGTTCCATCATTTTTATATTCTCCTCTATTTTTTTGTCAGTGTATTCTTTAGAAGCACTTAGTACTTCTTTGATTATAGTTATCACTACATTTTTTTAGTTCCGAAATTATTTCTGATGTGATTTCTTCTATACCTTTCTGTAGTTGATTCTTTACTGTCAACGCTATTATTTCCGAGATATCTGGCGTATGATTTCCAGTTTCCTCAGTGCTAGTGTCTTCTGCAGTTGTACTGAGTGGATTCGGGGCCTGAGACTGCATTTTGTTCCTTCTCTTTGTCATTTTGTATACCACTGTCTTCTGACCTGTGGTGTAGAGCTTGGATAGAGTCATTACCTTAGCACCAGGTCTGGATCTATGGAGTTCAGACTCCTCCAGGTGGGTGTTGTTTGGATCTGGTTGCTGTGCTCCACTTCTTTCTGCTGCAGCTGTTAGAGCTGAACCCTTTGTGTGTCTTTGGCAAGATGTTCTGCTCCTGAATCAGCTGGGTGGGTCTTGCCTCTAGCCTCTTTGCAGGGAGTTCTGCTGAAGGTTTTTGCTGGGCCTGCACTCTGGGTCATATGAATATCCACGGGCACTGGGTGGTCTCACTCACATGCCGGACCTGAGCTCTGGGTCTGTTCAGGATCTGGCAGACACAGGGTCATCTCACTCACTCACTTCCGGCCCTGTGCTCTGGGTCTACTCAGGATCTCGTGGGCCCCAAGTCGTCTCACTCACTTGCTGGGCCTGCGCTCTCGGTCTACTCAGGATCTCGTGGGTCCCGGTCATCTCACTCCCTTGCCGGGCCTGCCCTCTGGGTCTATTCAGGATCCTTCAGGCCCCAGGTGGTCTCACTCACTCGCCAGGCCTTTGCTCTGGGTCTCAGGTCGTCTCCTCTAGAACATATTTTAATTAAAAAACAGATAAACATACAGGTATTCTGTGTTTTATCTAACACTGGAGCACGGAAGTCTAAGCAGGAAATCCAGTGCAATGTGTATGGTAAGTAAATGCTGTTACAGTCATGTGATATCTCCTATACCCTGGATGATTGGCAGGTTCTGTATCTCTGTGAATATTTTATTAATAACACTATAGATGGCTCTTTAGATGGATATAGAAGTCCACGTGTGTTTCTAATGAAATAGAAAAAAGTCTGACTCATAAAATAAAGTTTTGGGGATTTTCTTATTGCATTAAAAATGATATAATTACTTGCACTAGGCAATGGCAGCAATAGTGTGGTGACATCCCTGAATGGCTCACATGATATCAACGTTGGTAGCTTTTTAATTCATCCATGTTTTTTGTGACTGGTTTGTAGAGAAAGTAATTTTCTTTGGGAGTAGTGTATCTACAGTAGTTAAAATTATAGTCCCATGTTTTACTTAAGGTGGTGAATTAAAAAAGTTGCTCAGAGTTAGGAGGCTGTTTATGAATGAGAATGTAATTTGGTGCCCTTTCAGACTATTAATGATTACAATCATTGATGGGACATAATGTATAATCATTGAGGGAAAGAGGATATATAATGATTGAAACTATAACCTGAGCTTTGATGTATTCAAATATATAATTAGCATAAATTTTGATAGATAGTGTACTAGGAACAATCAGAAATCTTCAAGGCAATATTGAATTATTTTTCTGATGATTGATTTGCTGTCTTTTGCTTATTGTAACATAGCATACTTTGTCAGTAGTGGCCACTTCTGGTTGGTCAGTTTATCTGAACTCACATCCATCAGCAAGAGAATGTTTGAATAAATTGTAGTCCACTCATACTGTAGATATTAGATAGCCTTAAAAAATGAGCTAGAGTGCTGTCCTCTTGAGTTTTAAAGATGTATCTACTTGATTCAAGTGCAGAAAGCAAAGTTGCAGAGTAAACAGAGAAGGCCTTTGTGTGCTGCTCCCGAGTCACACATGAGTCTCCCCAGAGGAGGAGCTGTGCCTTGCTGAAAAGGGCAGCACACCCAGCAGGCAGCAGCCTGTTTCTGTCCACCTTGCCCACACAGAGAAGAGGACAGTTAACATTCACTGCTCAAAATGCACATCTGTTATTTTAGTAGTTTGTTAAAAGTGTTAAAGAAAATGTGACTTTTCTAATCATGGTTGCTCTTCCTAACTTAACCTGGCTTGTAATTTTGATTTGTAGGTAGTGTACATTCATTTTCAAATGGCCGAACTGGTTATAGCCATCAACATCAGCATCGACACAGTGGACATGAAAGAGAAGAAGAAAGAGGAGATGTATGTTTATGATATGATTAGGAATCACAGAGTGCCAGCTTTCAGCCCATGAAAAGCAATTACAGTTGTCTAAAAGTGGGACAAGTTGTTTTAGGACTAATGAGTTTCCTTTAGCAATGTGTGCAATGGAGACTAGAACCCCATAGGGGTGGGGGGCTGGGCAGTGTGCCAGCCGATTTGGTATTCCAGGTTCTAGTGAAGACACGTCTGTACTCTGCATGTTTTGGAGGTACTATTTATTCCTTAAAAGGGAAACTACTGAAAACTTAAATTAGAAGTAACTTTTCTCTAACACAGTTGTACTCACTTGCTATAGGTGTGAGGTAAAAAGGTATTGAGAAAGGGCTCTAGACTAGAAATGAGAAGGTTGGGCTTCTCCTCAACCCAGCCTCCCTCCTCCCAGCTAGCAGAAGGCAATATCGCAGGTGTGGCACATTGGTCGCCTGAGTGGCAGATGGGACACCCTCTGTGTGTCTACGTAGAACAGGGTCCACAGAATGGCTCTCAAATCAGTCTGCCAGTGTGCCTGGAATGCTGCATTCTTAGGAGCCTGGTATGGCAGGCAGATTTGAGAGCACAACTAACTGGACAGTCTCAGATGCCCCTTCTGCATCTAAAATGTGTGTCAACTGTTACTGAAAATTGTGGCTATATTATAATTTATTATTCTTTGATGATTTTTTTATAGGGAGGTTTTTCTGTGTTTATCCAGCTGATGCCCATAATTGTATTGATCCTCGTGTCATTATTAAGCCACTTGATGGTCTCTAATCCTCCTTATTCTTTATATCCCAGATCGTAAGTAGCTAAGTGAAATTTTACAAAATTTATTGTTACTATTTCTTATCTAGCTTCCTTTAAAGGATATCTTAAATGCCAAATCATTAACTACATGTGTGCGAAATTTAAAAATCTCTAATTTTTAGCCACATAAGTGATAAATTTGTTTTATGTTATTACTTTATATTTTCCATTGTGTGTAAGGACAGAAATGCTATATTTTAACTTGTATTTAATGTAAGTGTTGTGTTGACGTTAAAGACAAAAACTACATTAAAATACAAAAATACTTTAAAGACATAATAATTGATCTTACATGCCTTTTTGCATATGTGGGAAATGACTTCCTTGAGAAGTCAGGACATAAAGGAAATTTAATGCAACAGCTTTAAGACAATGAACATGAAATTGTAGAATCATATTGGCAATAAAAAAAAGATTCCCTAAAGTAAGCATAACTTTATTTTTTCAAATAAAACTTTTATTAGCTAAAAACTGAGAGAATTTTAAAACTATGTTTTTTAATGACATAAAATTCTAGTTGTAAGCAATTTGAGACAGTGTTTTGTTAATACTCACTTTTTATTCTTGTTACCCTGGTTTATGGTAGAATATTAAAAAGTCTAATTTAACATAAACATCATCATGCATCTTTTTCACAGTGGATCTGGGCAAACTATTAAAATGCAGACAGAAAACTTGGGAGTGGTTTATTATGTCAACAAGGACTTTAAAAATGAATACAAAGGAATGTTACTACAAAAGGTAGAAAAGAGTGTGGAAGAAGATTATGTGACTAATATTCGAAATAATTGCTGGAAAGAAAGACAACAAAGTAAGTTGATAGTTGTTAAGCTTCACAGTCTTTGGCATTGATTACTATAGTTTCTCCTGGGCTGTTGTTCTGGAATTATGTGGTATGTGGAAAGCAGTCAAAGCTGGGTCCTTCCCACAGTCATCTCTGTCTGCGACTTCCTTTCTCCCCATGGACTCACCCTGTCACTGATGGGAGTCACTGGTGGGAGATGATGTAGGGGAAAACTGCATTTGTCCTGAAAATGTACAGACTTTTTTTTCTTTTTCTTTTCAAGGTTCTCCAAACAGAACATTTTAATCATTCACATGGCAGTAAAACAACTAACAGCATAGCATTTATGTAATATTAGTATAACTAATACACAGCTAGAGCATAGTAAAGTACATAGATGGGTTGTATCAAATAGTACACTTTTAAATCAGAGACTTGAGCATCCTGAGATTTCTTTTTAATCCCAGTTGATCCTCAAGCTAATGTCTTGTGGCTCCTGAGGGCCACTTGTCATAGGTTTTATGTGCACGTGGCCTCACAGCAGTAGGTTTTATGTGCATGTGGCCTCACAGCAGTTGACACATAGTAAGGACTTAATGACACTTGTGTCACTGTTGTCATTAACGTGTTTGGTTGATAAGTGAATATCATGGTTAAGGTGCAAGCTCTGGAATGCTACAAGATCCTGACTCTAAGAATACATTACTTAAATTTCAGTTCCTTTATCATTAACACATGGATGATAATAAATAATATGTGGAAGTGGGGTGTGATGGCACATGGCCATAATCTCAGCACTTGGGAGGCTGAGGCAGGAGGATTGCTAGAAGTTTGGGGCCAGTCTTGGGCGTCATAGTGAGTTCAAGGCCAGCCTGGACTACATAGCCAGATCATTTCTCAAGAAAAACAAAACAAAACCCAGATAATATGTAGTAAGCACTTGTGCTGGAAGTATTAAATATTAGTATTTAGTATGATTTTTAATTGCAGTCTGGGAAAATGTTTTTGTTTGGCATTATCTAGTTTAATCTTTCAACTGTCTGGCAAGGTCAGTATTAGCAGGTTTCATGGACCCTTCATTACACACTCTTCGTAGACCATATTGTCCACAACTGAATTGTACACATTTATGTGTGAAAGTTGCTACCACAAATTTTCATTGTTTTTAATCATTCACATACAAAATGGCATGCATGTATTAAAAAATATCAGTGAAACAAAAGACACAGTTGAGAATGAAGGAGAGAAAAGAAACAGGACACTGAAGAACAGACTGGCATCCTCCATTGGTTCCTCACGTGGAGGGAGGCAGGGAGCGCCCATCACAGCATCATTGAGACCAAGGGTGAAGTCCGAGGGGGCAGCCTGTCAGGCTGACCTTCACTGATAGTTCTCTAAGGGTCTGCTTCTTTGGAGAAAGATGACAATCTGTTAGGAATGTAAAGTCATAATATCTGCAGTTCATCTCAACTTTGCAAAAGGGACCATAGTAAGTCTTGCTTAGAGATAGAGCTAAAACAAATTTGACACAAAATATGGAGAACCGTCAAACATGGTAAAGAATTTAAGGGTGTTTGTTGTGTTATTCTTAATGTTTGTGTAGTTTTGAAATTTTTTAAAATAAAGTTAAATAAATTCAGTACTTCTCTGGGCTTGGGTCTCTGAGTGGTAGAAAGTGTGGGGCACTCCATGTGTCGGTGCCTTGACTGGCTATTTCCTCCGTTGCTTATGATGGGATCTTCCTTTTCCTTTATGGTGCTGGAGCTTGACCCAAGGGCCTAGCACTGTTAGAGAAGTACTAAATCACTGAGCTATACCTCAGCCCTGAAATGATCCTGTTTTATAAAGTCATAAAATCATTTTTTTTTTTAATTTTATTTATGTGTGTGTGTGTTTGTGTGTGTGGCCAGCTCAGCCCACCAGGGGGCGGGGCTGGCTGGCATGTGGTGCTGGGGGATTGAACCACAGTCCCTGTGCTTTGCTAAGCTTGTTCTAAGTAGGTGCTTTAGACCACTGAGCCATCTCACCAGCCCAATAAAATCATTGTTGATCAATGCTTTTGCCATGGTTTTTCTGTTTTTGGAGTTACTTCTAACATTCCCTAATGTATACACTGGAAAAGCAGTGTTTTATAAAATTACAAGCAGTAATTTGAAATACACAAATAGAAAGTTAGGTTAGGAATTGCACATTATGATTTGGATCTAGACTCTGGCATTTATTAGCAGTGTGAACTTTGGTTTATTAACTCTGAGTCATTGGAAAATGGAGTTTTACAAGTGCATTATTTATAAGCAAAAGTGTTTAGCAGTATTGATGAATTGTTAATCCTAGCCCTAAAGACTGAATAAAAGATTGCTCCTAGAGATGGAGTTCGCCACTTTTACCTGTGAGTCTATTTTAAATGTGGTCCTGACTGATACATATAAACCAGAGAGCATCTCCTTTGGTCCTTGCTTTCTATAAAGTAACTTATTTTTCCTTTTTCTGTTGTCTTCTCTAAGTACCCCCACCATTTAAAAGTGTTAAGAGTAAAAGGCCTAAAAGTAGCTTTCTTAGAGAGTTGGGGTTATGTTTTTCTCCTTTTAAGAAGATCTCTCTATTCAGTTCAGGCTGGCCTTGATGAACTCACTGTGTAGTTTGAATTTTGAATTTGCCAGCGTGAATTCATGGTGATCCTCCTGCTTCAGCCTCCCAAGTGCTGGGCTTGCAGGTATACACCACCACACCCAGCTAAGAGTTTTGATTTGTATTACATATATTTCTTTTGGTAACTGAAGGAAGCATCAAAAGTGCTTCTTTGCAGAATGTTACTGTTATAACTGCATCACATGCATTTTCCTGTGTTTCTTCAGTAACTATACATGTACAGATACATCATTTTTAAAAATTGAGATAAACTCAGAACAAGATTTTATATTTTTATACTTAAATTTGGGATTATCTGAAATTTTAACAAAAAGTCACAGCAGGCTCATCCCTGGCAGCATGACTATCACATGGTATTGTAGAGGCTGAGGCTGAGGTGATGCTTCAGAAAACTGACTTTTAAACCACTGGCTCAGAAGCGAAGTGGCAGGATTCCATTGTAGGTTGACAGGATTGTAGTGGGGTCATCCTGGACTTCTTTTCTGTGCTTGTTTTGTTGTTGTTGTTTTGGCGGAACTGGGGATTGAACTCAGGCCCTTAAGCTTGCCAGGGAAGCACTTATTCCACTGAGCCATCTCCCAGGCCCCTCTGTGCTTGTTTTACGCGCAAGCCTTCGTATAAACTTTTCATTTAAAGAGAAGGAATTCTAGCTGGGTGTGGGGGTGTAGGCCTTTAATCATAGCCACTGGAGTGGCTGAGGCAAGAGGACAGGAAATTTAGGCAGGCCTGGGCTGCTGAGGAAGACCCTGTCTCAAGAAAGGGTTGGGGGCTGGAGAGATGGCTCAGTGTTCTAAAGCACCTACTTGGAACAAGTTTGGCAAAGCACAGGGACCACGGTTCGATCCCCCAGCACCACATGCCAGCCAGCCGCGCCCCCTGGTGGGCTGAGCTGCCCCCCCCCACAATAAATAAATGTTAAAAAAAAAAAAAAGAAAAAAAGAAAGGGTTGGGATGTAGGTCAGTTGTAAGCACTTGTCTAGTGTTTACAAGGCCCTGAGTTGCCCAAGAGTCTTTTAGACACAATACTGAGGTTCTTTTCTTTTTTAAAAGTCAGTTAACACAAACACATTGAAGGTCTTCTATGCAACATCATTCGAATTTAAACAGCTAGGTGTTATAAATGATTATATAGCAAAATCTTTTTGTTAACAGAAACAGATATGCAGTATGCTGCCAAAGTATACCGTGATGATCGACTACGGAGGAAGGCAGATGCCCTCAGCATGGATAACTGTAAAGAACTGGAGCGGCTGACCAGTCTATACAAAGGGGGCTGAGCGGCTGGAGGCTATACCTGTTAGCACACTCCTGATCACTTCTGTAAAGTTAGTTTCATCAAGAAAGCTGAAGAAAAGATTTGATATGAACTGAATAGTTGCTTTCTGAAATCTTGGACTGTTTCTGACTTCTTGGTTCCTTTAAATAGTAAGAAATGAAAACTAAACTTAATATTTTAGTTGTGCTTCTGCAGTTACTTTTATTTTAAGCTGAGACGATTCCTAACAAAAAATGTCTTGAGAAGGGATTATCATACCTGTAGCGATTTCTACTTTTAGTGGTTCTCCATTTGTCATGTAAATATTTATGGAATGAGCATTTTGTGTACATATAGGTTATTGCCTTTTGAAGTTATTTTAGTGTTTGGCTCCATGAAATGCTTCTCTTAAAGTGATGGAATAAATGTTGTATGACACAATTAAGTTTTCTGTATCAGGTGTCAAGTATATGAAGTTTAAACAATGAAACTTTTTCAAATGGAAAAAAAACCCAAAAACTATTTAAGTTTCTGTAAACTCTTATGCAATTATCAGCTTAAAAGGAATTAATATTTTTAATATTGCCATTATATTCCAAACTATGTACTGATATAAATGAACTGGTGTAGAGTATCAGTTTGCTATTTAGTTTATTGAATTGCTAAGCCATATGTAGAAATGAAATGCTATACTGATAGATTTTAAAGAAAATATGAGGAAATGGCTATAAATATTAAATTGAGGGTCTTTAATAATAAATTGTATTTATGCATTTGAAATCCTAATAATTAAAAGGACCCTAGTATTCATATGTCTTGGAAGGCTGCTAACATTTATGAAGAAGACACCTAATTTTCTGCCCATAGTAATTTGCATTTTCTTAGTGATCGTTTAACAGGATCCAAAAGTAGATATATTCTTCAACAAACAGTAAAAAAATTACTACTCAAATACTGCTTTGTGCCTTTTAACCCTACTGCCAACTTCTAAATGTGTATGTAGGTGACCATTCATTTATTAACCAGGATCTGTTTGGCCATGTGCAACAGTGAGCAGAAATAGAGCAGCAGGTAGAATAGTGAATTATAGAGCAAGTCGCCCCTTAAAAGTCCTAAGATACAATCTATTCATGTTGAGGAACTCAGTCCTATAGGAATAAGCTCCTTATAATTAAATCCATAATATAAATTAGAAAAATAGCAGCTGGAAATTGAAGTTTTTGGTGCCTATATAATGAGTTTAGAAATGTTTGATTTTTAGTCTCCTGTGCTAGTAATATTTTAATGATTTTGCTTCATATTCAGTGGAATATGAACGTATTTTTGGCAGTTTTTCTGTGAGCAAGGTAGAGTGGTATTGTTACTTTGAATAATTTTTTTTTGGGGGGGGTATAGTTGATTTCTGATACCTGTCAAGTAAAACTGCTGAAATACTATTCTCCTAATAATGTTCTCTTGTATCCCCTTCCTAAGTAAATCAGTAAAAAAGCCTAATTAAATTCAAGGTTATAGTAAACATATTCTCATAGGAAACGTGAACAACTTAACCCATTTCTTTTAGAAATGTGACCTTTAACATAATGCTTAAAATAAAAATGAAATATTTTCTTGAGCCTGTAGAAAGTTTTTAAAAATGTCATAGCACTCTAATTAATTTTGAAAGTTCATATGTGCTAAAAAATTTATAAAAATTTGACAAAAATTCATGTTATTTTTCCAATTTTAATGGGACTTTTCCACTATTATGGTTAATTCTTGTGTGAACTAAACCTTCTTGTTGACAGTTTCCTTTTTCCGTTAAATCCCTGCTTTAAAGGGATAGGTGAAATTATCAAAGCAAGTGAAGTTACATATAATAAAGCCACACATGGCTTTTGGACAGTATTATATTTCAGATCTATTACTGCATTCCATTACATTTCATAATTTGTTAGGAAAATGTGTTTGATAAAATTTTCAAACAACTGTGAGGAAGGATTGTTTTGAGTGACTGACAATTTGAGCCACCTGTGAAGCCTGCAAGTAAAGATGGCGCTCTTAATGTCCCCTATAACATGGTGCAAGGCAGCGAACATCTTGTCCTTTAGGTTGGCAGTAGTACATAGCGAGAAGACTTTAACTACCTTAACTACCTTAGATGTAAGATTTTCATATTTGTTACTCTCTCTCTCATGATTAAAAATCCCAGTATTTTGCCATCTTCTTTTTTAGCTACATGAGCTTTCAATGTCACTTTATCATTTTAGTTTCTACCTAAAAGGCTTTGACTTTTTTTTTTTTTTTGGTGGAACCGGGGATTGAACTCAGGCCCTTGTGCTTGCCAAGGAAGCGCTTATTCTACTGAGCTATCTCCCCGGCCCCAAGGCTTTGACTTTAACTAACTTCTCTAACTGGTATTTTGGAAATTCATAGCAGTCATATTTGTTCATGCTTTATATATTTTATGTTCATACAGACACAATTGTTCTTGTGAAGGTTTAGGGAAAAGGAAATACTACCTTTTTCCTTTTTTATTTCTTAGTTTCCAAATGACTGGTGCTAGTCATGTAGTCATCTGTAAGCCTTGAAACTTATTTTGATCAAATAAATCCTTGACAGTGAGAAATTCTAAGTTATCTATCTCATAATTAATTAAGAGAAAATAACATGTATTTGAAACAGATTGTCTTTGCTTGTTTCATAATCTTTACATGCATGTTCATGGTTTACAAAGACTTGGTACAGAAAGGTCAAGTCCTAGAAGCATCTCCATGCATTACAGTACTCTGCTATGTATCAGCTCAGGTGTCAACAGGAACAGGAATGTGGAATGCTGGCCCTTAAATTTAACTGCACTTTTATGCTTCACTTTACTTCTTGATAAATCTTTTGCACTAGATATAAAATAAAATTGTTATTTGATTCCCAATAAAATTGTTATGATTTCCCTTCTGTTAAATTTGTAACATTTTTAAATGCAGCTGTTTAACACCTATGACATGCTAATGTTACTTAATGTATTTATGCATATTTCATTTAAAAAAATTTTCTGCCTTGTTGAGACAGTGGAATATTTATTGATGGATGTAAGGACCAAAGGAACCATTTTTCTAGTTAAGTAAGTATTATAGCAAAGTACCAAATGATTAAAAGACTGCATTGATGTAGCTTCTCCCTGTGAAATGTGGACTTTGTGGGTTCAGTACCACCTGTACTACCTTTCCCTTTCATATTGAGCAAAGGAAACCAGAAGGACATCTTTTTCCTTAGCAGAATAGGAAAAATAAAAATAAACAATCAATTTGAATTTTAATCTTCCCTTAAGTAACTGAAAATTCTTCTTTATTGGACATGGTAGATTACTGCCTAGTTAAAATGCCTAACATTCTGTAAAAACCAATAAAACAGAAAGAAATAGGGACCAGGGATATAGCTCAGTGGCACAGAGCCTGCCTGTGCAATTCCTAGAAAACAGAGAGAGACAGATAGAGACAAGTAGATAATACGTAGATACCCTGAGATACTCTGGCAATAATTTCAAAATTTCCCTGAGTTCTGATTTTCAATCACAAAGAAAAAGTGCATAGAATGTGGCTGTTCAAAGAATTCTTGCAATCCCGTTAATCTGGCAGGCATCACAGTCAAGACTTCATTTATAGCTTCATTACTGTTAAATAATACTTTCTTATAAATAGTAACATTTCTCCTCCAAACAGTAATTCAAAACATATTCCTTATATTAAGGATTATGTAATGAAAATTTTGTAAATTCCCTATGTGTAACATTTTCCTGTTGATATGTGATCTTTTCATTTAATTTGATCATTTGCTGGTGTTGGGGCCAATAGATTTGTGAATATTTTGTGGATGTGTACATGTATAATTGCACATATGCATTCTTTCTAGCTAATACCTCAGATGTGTGATTATTTAATATATACCACACAATGTTTGCACAGAGCAAGGCTTCCATTAGCAATGGGTATTCTTATTTCCAAATTTGAAAATCAGTCCACAAAATTTCATTGATGTGAATTTTCTGTTGATCTTCATGTTTTAATATAGATTCCTATTTAAGGCCCACACTTCCAGAACAACTATCTTGCTTAAGTCTAGCAATCTGGAACTACATAAGGGTAAGAAGTGTTTCTTGGAGTGTCTTAGTTCATAAATGACTTAAGAATTTGATGACTGGCTGTGGAGATAGTGCGTCACTGCAGAGCAGGTGTCACCTGGTAGGAGAAGGGGGAGTCTTTTCGGCATCCACTGTAGCTGAGCCTGCCTCACGTAAGAACTGTGCTAACTGTGCACTGGGGTGCCCCAGCCATTACTTTTGACAAGATTCTTTTTGAGTTGGGTGACTATAATGATAAGAAGAAAAAAACCCTGATGTTGTATGATTTATTTTCATTAAGAAATGCTTCTTACCTTTTTCTTTTTGGTTTTTAAATTGCTTTGTAAGACTGTCCATTTAAAGTTTAGTTTTAGTTTATGTGTTTTAAACAGCTACAGGAAATTTTCAAGGCATGATGGAATTTTAAAGGAAGCCTTGTGTAAGCTAAATGAAGTGAAACATAAAGGAGATCTTACTTTGTCTATAGTGCATTCAAGATTATATAATTAGGTTTAAAAATGAAATGTCTCATTTATAAACTAATGTTATATCAAAGTTATATAAAATTTCCTGTGTGAGAACTCTTAAAGCAAATGCATTTGATTTTTAATGAATGTTCTACTGAATGATTTATGATGAATTTTTGTCTTTGAGTCTCTGTACTTTATCTTAATATATTAATAAAAAGGTTTGTTCTCACTGTAAAGGGGAACTTATTTTTATTTTTATTCTTTCATTAAGCCATTCAACAAATGTGTAAATGCCTGCCATATTCCAAGTAATGAGCTTATAATAATCAAGGAACAAGACAAAAGCTCTTAGGTGGTTTACATCTAGTAAACAAAATTAAATGTTAAGTAACTAGTTACAGTTTTGATAACTGAGACAGAAAAGTACAAGGTACATTGAGGGAATATATCTGAGAGATCTAAACTATTCTGGGAGGGTCAGGAAAGGTTCCCAAGAAATTGAGCTTAAGCTGAAACCAAAAAGGTGAGCAGGAGTAAGATGAAACCTAGGGAAATTTCTGAAGAGTGGCCAAACTAGTTGTCATACAAACTGTGATACTAGCATAGGAAGTGAAAACACAAGACCTATCAGAAGAATGCCAGGGTAGGTAAAAGAATGATGATAGGAACCAGGTCCTTGTAAGATCATATATACCCCAGTGATAATACTATACTTGATGCTGTCAGTCATCAAAACCCAACTGGGTGTGGTAGTGCATGCTGGTGATCTCAGTTTTGGGACACTGAGGCAGGACAAGTTGAAGGCCAGCCTGGATTACATAACAAGACCCTCAAAGTAAAAATACTTAGGACATTTAAGGGAAGAGTTACATGATGAGATTTAGATTTTTGAAGTATTTAAATTGCTGTTTGAAGAGTAGAGGTTAGAAGTGAATGTTTAGAAAGATAGGTTACTATCAAGAGATGATCATGGCATGGACTAGGATAAGAGTATCGGTAAGTGATTTTCAGAGACATTCAGAATGTAGACTTGAGATCTCTTTGGATTGATTTTGGATATGTGGTAGCAGCAATTAGAAACAGACTAAAGACTTACAAAAATTTGGTTATGGAAAGAGTAAAGTAAGAGGTTAGTAACTGAAAAAAGAATATGATTTCTACAGAAGGCATTTTTTAGTTATTGATTATTACATGAGGGACCTTACTAATTTTTTGTATCAATGGAAAGAAAAGTGAAAGATGGATTAAAAACAGGGCTAACAGTATTGAGTCCCTGATGTGTCCAAAAGATAAATAGATCTCTGCAAATATGTAAAAATTACTTTGACTAAGAGATACTAACAGCATTCTTTGAAAAAGGAATGGACAGATAATAGATTCAAGTACAGACAGATTTATAGCTAGTTAGGTGCAATTTTCTGGCCTTAAGTTTATTGATCTAAGCAGTTTATATAACAGGAAGCAAGGAAAGACAAAAAGAGCAAAAGGTAATTTGAAGGAATCTTTTTCTGAGGGAATCATTTTCACAGCTAACAAAAAAAGATTTTTATGGTTCCCTAATTGGTGACATTGAAAATGTTTACTCGTGAATTTTCTGTAACCCAGCAGCTGGGCTTGAGCATGCGGGGAAGTCAAAAGTCATGTTGGTGGAAGGCTGAAGGCATCGATTGGGTTATGGTAGAGGATCCTGATTAGAATGCATTCACTAAACTAGAATGATATATTGGGCCCACATTATAGACTGTCAGCTTTATCATTGCATTGGTACCCTACAAAACGTTTTTGAGTAAATAGGAATATACATTGTTTTCGCAAGTGTTGCCTGCTATTACTCAGTTGCGCTGTAATCTTAAGTTCCATGTCATAAAGGTATAGTCCTCACCACTGTCCTCGGTCTTTCCTTTCTCTCTCTCTCTCTCTCTCTTTTTTTTTTTTTGTATCCTGGCTCTAAGGCCCGCAGTTTTCCTTTACCACATGCCCAAAGTAATGAGACAAATTCATCATGGAATGAAACATAAAACTGAGTCCAAATAAATCTTTTTTCTTTATACTTTGACTCATACTTGTTTGACCGATGGAAGAATGCTAGACAGGCTATTGATTTGGCCTTGCTGAACAGAAACAATCGTTTCAATCAAGAACTCAAAAATATAAATGCAAAAATTCATTGTTAAGGAAGAAAGGATGATGCAGGGATGGACAAATAGCAAATGTCATTCTTGAAGATTATAAATAGGGACATTAAGGGAATGGTTTAAGGTTTATTGCATATCTTTATAGTTTTTAATGAGAGCTGACAGGAAGAAATGTATGGAGGGCCAACGAGATAGCTCAGTGGACTAAGCCCTGCTTAGGTAAGCACAGGGACAGAGTTCCATCCTCCACAGGGGGTGCCCACCCCAGGCGCACTTGAGCTGGCCATGGGGCATGGAAGCACACACTTGTAATGCCAGCACTGGGGAGGCTGTAAACAGGAGGTTCACTGAGTCCAAGCTGCATAGTGAGACTCTGTACCAAACACACACACACACACACGGAAAAAGATGGCCAACCTCCAATGAGATGAAAATGGCAAACATAACACCCAGAAAAGTACTTATTTCCACATTCTCATGGCACCTTAGAAAAAGGAAAACAGGAAATAGCATCATCTGAAGTTAGGTCAGGAGAGGTGATAACTTTAAGGGATTACACAACTCTGCCTTGGTATCACCAGTGGTACCCGTATGACTGTCCTAACCCGCAGCTGCATAGCAGTGAGACATGAATTACAGCCCCATCATGAACATGTTAAAAAAGCACGTGTACTTTACAATTTAATCCTCTCAAAAGGCAGCCACAGGACAACAAACACCCAGATTTTCCAGTGTTTTATTAGACTAAAATTAGTTCCCTTGCACTCTTTAGGGATTAGAAACTAAGATCCTAGTAAACAAGATTCCACAGATCTCATCGTTCAAGAGATTTTACTGTTTCAAATAAAGATTCAGGGGACTGGTGAGATGGTCAGTGGTCTAAAGCACCTACTTAGAACAAGCTTTGCAAAGCACAGGGATCGCGGTTCAATCCCCCAGCACCACATGCCAGCCAGCCCCGCCCCCTGGTGGGCTGAGCTGGCCACACACACACAAATAAATAAAATTAAAAAAAAAAAGATTCAGAAGAAATCCGCATGCAACAAAAGCCGTGAACTGGTGAGTCTATCCATCCTAAGGGTTTTTTTGGTTGTTGTTTTGTTTTTTCTTTTTGAGACAGGCTCTCACTATTCAGTTCAGGCTGGCCTTAACCTCATTTTGTAGCCCAGGCTGGTCTCGAACTCTCAACGATCCTCGTGTCTCAGCCTCATAGGGCTTCTCCTGGAATCCACAGCCTAAAGGCCCAACGCTGCAGGGCATCCTAGGATGCACAGCGATGCTCCGTGACAAAACAACAAAAGGACATGGCCAGCGAAGGCTAGTTCTCCCACTGGGCAAACCCTGTGATGGTTCTGCTTTCTCCAGCAGCAGGCGCTCCTCGAATGCGCAAACAAGGCATCAACCAAAACCAGCACTGGAAATCCTCACACTGCGAGGCGCACGCCGGGCCAGGCGAAAACAGGCAGTATGCGCGGTTCCTGTGCTTGTGCAGCTACGTCCGGAAGCCAGAACAGGGCGGAAACTCAAGACTGGGCTTCGTATTACGGGCAGTACGGTTGGTGCTGTTGTACCAAACACGATCCACACAAACGTCTTCATTAGCAAGAAATGAGAAAGACGCACCAGCTCCGCACGGAATGCTCCGACAACACTTCGGGATACGACAAAGAATAGCGCGCAGGCGCAGGAGGCGTGGTACGCAGACGCAAGAGGGTCGGCGCCCTGCAAACCGACGGAGGCAGCCGCGACTGGGAGGAACGAGGTGCGCAGGCGCAGACGCAGCTGGCGGCGCTGGCTCTTCGCGCCAGGCCAACCCGGAAGTGCCTCATACCCGCTGTGGTAGGTTTGGCCAGTGCTTCCGGAAGCGCAGTTCGCAGTTCCGGAAGTTTGCGAGTTACGTGACTGCGGCTGGCCTTGGAAGCTGTTTGAAGGTATTACTGGAGGGCTGTGGGAGACAGTCGGACAACCGAGAAGGCCAGGTAGTCCGGGGGCGCCGGCGATGGGGGGGGGGCGAGTCTAGGGGACAGGTTGTCCGTTCCAGGCGGGTCACGACCTATGGTAGCCGGGCGGGGCTTGGTCGGCCAGTGCTCAGGGCGGCTTTCTCTTGCAGGGGCCGAGGCCGGAGCTGCGCGGCATGGCTGACGTGAGTTGTCAGGCGGGCTGTCGGTGGAGGGATTCCCCCGGTGTCGTGAGGGGGCCACCGGGGTTGAGTCCCCATAGGGGCCCCTTCGGTGGGGAGCGTTCAGCGGGCTGGAGCGGCGGGGCCCGGATGGCGGGCTTTAAGTTCGCAGGGAAGAGAGGGTAGTTGTACTCGGTCCCGCAGCGACAGAGAGGGTAGTTGTCCTTGGTCCCGCAGAGTAGTGAGAGGGTTGTTGGCCTCTGCGCCGCCTGCGACCTCCCCAGGTGAGGCCTGACCCGGCACCCTCATCCTTAGGCAGGGCTTGGGGTTTAGGGAAGTGAGCTTGCCGAAGCCGTGGGCGTGAGCGGGTCTGCGCGCTCCCCGGCGCGCGCCGTAGCTCTGGTGCAGGACCCGGAAGAAGGTCGGGTCTGATGACACGAATTTTTGTCTCATTTCCAAGCGCAGTAATCAACCAGATACCCTGACAATTCCAAATTACCAGTGAAGTGGAAGCTGAGAGGCTCCTTGCTTCAGCTGTAGGACTAGCATTAAAATCAGAAATGTAGAGATAAAACACCAGCAACAAAGTTATGCATGAGGACTTGAGGTTCCAGAAAGGCAGGAAGGACAGGTCTAGAAAAGCAGAGGAAGATGTGTTATTTTTTAATGTTCTCTTTCAGGACTTAAAGCGATTCCTGTATAAGAAGTTACCAAGGTAAAATTTAATGTTGTGGAATCAATTCTGTATGCCATGATTATTTTAAGAGTTGTTTTAGGGGCCAGGGAAATGGCTCAGTAGAATAAGTGCCTCCCTGGCAAGCGCAAGGGCCTGAGTTCAATCCCCGGTTCCACAAAAAAAAAAAAAAAAAAAAAAAAAAAAGAAAAAGAAAAAAAGATGTTTTAATAATTTGTTATCATTTTAAGTAGTCATCATAATCCTCATTATCTTAAGTGATGTCATTTCAGTTTGGGGATGATGACCCTCATCCTGGACAAGTCTGTGATTAATTTTTAGTAGGTGATGGGGACCAGCACTCAGATTCTTAACTCTTTTGAGTTCTTTTAAATAAACTATCATACCATTTGGTTGGATTATACCTTAAAATTTTTATAGTCACTCTAAGGAGAAAAATCCTAAAAACTTGCATTTACTTGTATTTTGTTACTAAGACGAAATTGCTGAGTCTACATAACCCGAGTTAAGTGAATAATCTTTGAAGTAAGGCAGCAAAATATGTGCTGAGATGCTTTACTCTTACCTGCCAAATCTGAAATTGTAAAAGGCTTTGGATGTTTTGTACTTAGGAAACAAAATTTGTTTGGATTCTGTTTTGATTGTGTGACATGCCTTGTTGGCTCTTGCCATTAGCCACCTAATTGCAGATTACTGGAAGTTGATATTTATTTTCTGATTTTAAATTTATGTTTTATATTTCTTTTGTATTTAGGTGTTAAATAATTTTTACCACTTCATGTTAATGAAATGCTTAAATTCATTTGTAGTCTGTTCCTTTTGTTATTGGCAAACTAGAGACAAGACACTGATACTGCTCCAACCTAGTGATCAAGTGGTGATTATCACTATAGCAGTGACTGTGCAAGCTGGCACTGTGCAAATAAATTTTAGAAATCAGTGCGAAAAATAATTGTTTTGTGATTTTGTTTTTTAATTTCAAAACATTAAAACTTTTGTGGATGACGGTATTTAGAGAAGCAATACCAAATATTAAAATGGGGTTACTTAGTATATTAATTGAAATCATCAGTGATACTGGGAATTAAAGTGTTCTGCGTCTTTGCACAGAAAACTCACCAAGAATATTTTGAACTTTCTTTTTTTGCAGAATCAGGGATTGAACTCAGGCCCTTGAGTTGAACATTTTTAACTGCTTTCTCTATGTACCTTAAAAGAAGCAGGTTGTTTTCATACTCCTTGTTGAATTGTCATAATCCATTCTGAGGGCCAGCCAAACAGCTCAGTGGATTAAAGCACCTGCTTAGGCAGACACAGGGACTGGGAGTTCAATCCCCAGGCCTGCCATACGGTCCTCAGGCCCCCAGTTGAGACTGGAGGTGGTGGCACGCACCTCTAATCCTAGCACTTGGGAGGCTATAAACCGGAGGATCACTACAGGTCTGATCTATGCAGTGAGAACCTGTAGATCCTGTCCTAAGTACAAATAATAATAATAATAATAACAATAATAATAATAATCCATTCTGAATTGGGATCAGCTTTTCACATTTTAATCCTTCAAATATTCCAGTACTGGGAAGTATGTGAGATTTCCCTTGATTTTATTTATTTATTTATTTATTTATTTTGTCAGCATCACTTTCTCTGGGACATTTTCATCATAACTACTTTGCTCATTTATGACAGGGGAGTCACCCTCGCCTGAGCACCTCAGGATGCAAAACCAAAGGGTCCACCTCACCCCCAGCAATAGCAGCCACATTCCCATGGTCACCTGTATCTTTTACTTTCTGTTTGAATTGTACTTCTACCATTATCATTTTCCTTGTTGTATTTCACCTACTTCTCTGTCAATTCTATAAACTCTTTAAATGTCATAGGAGATGAGACAGAAAATTATATGAGGGCCAGCCAAATAACTCAGTGGATTAAAGCACATGCAAGCAGGTGCAGGGGCCGGGGCTTGATCCCCAGGCCTGCCGTGCCGGCCCCATCCCCGGGGCACGCTGAGACAGCAATTGAGACTGGGCATGGTGGCACATGCCTGTAATCCCAGCTCTTGAGAGGCTGTAAATAGGTGGATCACTATGAGTCTGATCTAGTAGTGAGACCCTGAACACCCTGTAGACCCTTCTCTAAAATAAAAAAGAGAAAAACTATGTGAGATATGCTTTTCTCTCTTTTTATGAACTAATAGATGGACAGTGACCAGATCCTAATGTACATTGAAGTGATATAGCGGATTACCAATTACAGTGTGCACCTGCTAATTATATAGTTATTTGTGTGATGTTTGTGGGCCAAGGAATTAAAGTTTTTGCTTTATATAGTTATTTGGCAAATATATATTGGTAGTTAAAATTCAGTCTGTGCTATTGAAGGATACTAAGTGAACCATGATAACTAAAATGCATGTAGTGAAACTGCAAAATTAGAGCTTTATCTGTAGTTTCCTTGTTGAATATTGAAAGCTGCTAACCTGTGTGGTACGACACCACTGCACTGGTGAATATAGGAAAACAAGCTAGTTTATCTACCTAAAAGTGCTATTAGCTTATAATCTTGTTTTAACTATTCCATGTTTTGCTAAAGGGACAAGAAAGTTGTATTAAGTGTTCTCAAGTTGTAAAATCACCTTTAAGATGCTTGCATACACCTGAAGATTTAATAAGTAAATAAAGCAGAAATTCAAATTACATGCTGTATGATTACTGGTAACCAGATTGTTTCAGATGGTGAGGGTCTTGCTTTGATAAATTGGTATACTCTGAAAGTCATGCTATATGATACTGGATAAGTGAAATTACATAAAATTGTTTAGTTGTAAAGCAGAGTAGGCTTATTTAGCTCATAGTTTGTAGAGGTTTTACTTCATAGTTGGCTAGCTGCAAGGCAGGGTGGAATGGGAGAGGGGAATGGCAAAGAAGTA